AGACGTGACATAACAGTAGGCCTTGTTCATCACTTGTACGGATCATAGTTCGCCTCGAAAACTGTCCATGTTGATCGATGTGTTGTACTAGGTTCCGCATTCAAGACTTGAGACTGACACCACTTGCTATGCATGAGTTACTTACCAGGAAGGTCTTTCAGGGCGTGACGAGCTTTTTGAAAACGGTCTTTTGCATGATATAGGGGCAGATGCGGGACCACAGAACCATGTTCAATTTTTCCTGAACGGCCCTCTGAATACCAGAAAAGGAGGTCCCTAGTTCGATTCCTCGTGGTAACAAATTTTTGCATTTCGAGTTGACGTGCCAAAATTCGCGCAAAATGGAGTTAGAACCAACCAGAACAATCAGAACTCCATTTTGCGCGAATTTTGGAACGTCAACTCGAAATGCAAAAATTTGTCACCAAGAGGAATCGAACTAGGGACCCCCTTTTCTGGTATTCAGAGGGCCGTTCAGGAAAAATTAAACATGGTTCTGTGGTTCCCCGCATCTGCCCCTATATCATGCAAAAGACCGTTTTCAAAAAGCTCGTCACGCCCTGAAAGACCTTCCTGGTTAGTTTAGGAAATTAGTATAACTACTTGCTATAGAATTTCGAGTGTGTGGATACTTGCGTGAACCTATATCTTTGGAACCGCGCTGACCAATGTATAACATTTATCATACTACAATGGTGGAGACTTTGTGGCTAACTTATTTGAGGACTTTTCAGAGCAACAGCGCGGGACCAGCACATTCCCAACGTGTTCGACCGATCCCAGTAGTTATGATACCGACCGGCTCACCGAATTCCAAATAAAAAAGGTATTGCTCGAAGTTTTTTCCAGATTGATTCGTTGGCTTGACATTTCACTTTAGGAGGTTGATACATTTGCATACAACTTCGATTCGTATACGTTTTCCGAGTTTTGCGACGATGAAAACAAGTTTCTGAAGCGGCGTGGGCCTCGAACGACTATCAAGCAGAATCAGGTAAAGCTACCACTTTTCTGGAAACCTTTTTTTTCCGTAGGAGAACATTGATGAAATCGAGTGTGACGCGAGGAGCAGCTCACAGTCGTAAAACCGCCCTAAACTCCAGTTTAGACAAAAGTGAGATCACCACATTCACTTCTAAGATCCGCTCTTCCCTTCACCGTTTTTGATTGCGATTTTAGGGGCAGTGATTACAATGGAGTGGGTGCCTAGCAGGAGTAAATGGCTTGAAGATGGCAGTGCAAGCGTTATAAAAGGAATCTAGTACTGCGTTTTGCGGTGAACGGTGAGATAGTGGCAGATCGGGCTCGAAACCTAAAAACTGGAGTATCTCAGAACCGCTCCGCCCATTAGTGTGTTGCCAGTAGCAACATTTCGCTTTTCATCTTGAAAGTGCGTTGCACTTAAACGTGGATTTCCTGCAGGCGCAAAGGTCAAACATGGGGAAACTTGCCTAGTGGAGTGACAGGCAGACCTTACGCGTGTGATACGACCTCAGGAGATCTAGCACGGCCTTATCCGTGGCGCTATTGGTGCGCTGTCGGCGCGGGATGCCTCCCTCGCTGTCTGAGCCTCTGGCGTTTAGCAGAGAGAGCGTTAGCGTTGAAGAGGGCAGCACCGATGAGAGTCGCATCAATGCGAAATCAACGGGCAAGGAAGGGTCCTTTTTCAGGGTTCTAGGCCGTTTTCTTGTTTTTTTCTTCTTTAGTGCATCACTGACCATCTCCATCATAACTTTGAAATGAGCTGATTTCCATCGTAGAATCCGCCTTTGAGGCGGCCGTACCATCGACTGTCTAGTTGATGCGTTATCAGTCAACGTGTTGCTTGTTGGCATGATGTTGAATGTCAGGATACAAGTCCGAACGCCCGTTCTCTTTCAAGCTCATAGTCGGAAACGAACACGCTAACGAAGTGTCTCATTTGCGTCTTCTTGACGGAGTTTTCTGCTTTTTCTTGTCTCCGGCGCACCGTATCCACAGCATCCCTTTCTAATCTAAACCCACCCAGAATTACCGTATGCCCTACCCTTAAAGGCAGTGATTACGATAGGTTCAAGAAGGGTTTATAGAAGACTGGTGGTGCTCAATGGTACGCCAGTGGCGAAAAAAGCGGAGAAATCCGTCAAGAAAACGCAAAACGGGACCCCTTTTTCCGTTGGTTTTCACTCATGAACAGGTAACAGCTCAGAAAACGAGTTCATCGCAACGCGTTTGGTGACAGCATGCCAATCCATGCTCCAGTCGAGTTGCTTCAGTTGTGCCGCTGCTGGCAACGCAGCTCGTCCAAATCACCAAGTAAACTAGTGGGCGGATCGCTTTTGGGGCGGAGTGCTTTCGAAGTCCTGCTCAGCAACCAGCGCACCTTTCGTCGTGAAAGCGCCACACCTCGCTTCCCTGGCAGCCAAGTAACTGATTCGTGTGGTGCATATGCTTCCCCGATGCGCTCCCTCTTATCGTAATCGCTGCCTTTAAGGAAACTCAAAACATGACCAACATTGGCCTAGTGAACTTGACCACATACCAAATCAATTGCTTCTTGAATGTCTCACAAGGGAAGGATCCCAGGTCGAAGTGGCCATTTGTAACGAGACATACACCACTAGATGTGTTTTTGGACGCTGATCTCGAATCTGCTCTCCAAATCTGCGGAACGATTCCCTGAACGTAGTTATGAAGCGAGATAGTGCAGTGGCAGCGGCCCAGGCCGACGGAAAAGAGGTCGTGGGATCGAATTCTTGGCGATATCTCACATTTGCTTTCCTTGAGACATTGCTAAAGATGCTTTTATCCATATAAATTATTAGCGATTGCCTATATTACAAGTGGGAATAGCTAGCGAGGAGCATCTAACACTGTGCGCGCCATTCGCAAAAGATCGCCCCTTGTACTCGTAGCGCACGCGTCAGGCGCATTCGTGCCAAACAGAGGTGATATTCGTATTCAGCGCGTCAAAATGCCCCTTTCCACAACTTTTGGTCCAAATCTGAAATTTGTACCTAACTTTGCAAATGTGGGCAGTCACCGTTGGTCATTTGCACATGGCACGCACACTTGATCGAAACTCCTCGCTATCTCCTCGCACTAGTAATAAAGGCGAGTGCTGATGACTTAGCATAGATGAGGATTTCCTTAACAATGTCCTCAGGAAAAGCAAAAGTCAAAACTCGCCGAAAATTCGATCCCACGACGTCTTTCCCGTCGGCCTGGGCCGCTGCCACTGCACTATCTCGCTTCATAACTACGTTCAGAGAATCGTTCCGCAGATTTGGAGAGCAGATTCGAGATCAGCGTCCAAAAACACATCTAGTGGTGTATGTCTCGTTACAAATGGCCACTTCGACCTGGATCCTTCCTTATAACTTCGTAGCCCGATTAGACTGGCTTCATCGGATTCACCGAGGTTGCTCTTTGTTGCAGTGAAATAACGCTTCAATTTGATGAGCTGCGTGTTTCAGCTTGGATGTATTGAATCGGATTTTCTCATCGACTCCAAAACCTTCCTAAACATCTAGAGAAGCGCCCTCGAACGGCCCTCAGATGCGAGTTATGCAGTTTGTATTTTTTTCTTGGCGAATCTCGGATAATGTCTTCGAAGAAAAGAGAATTTATATTCATTATTCAATCCGTTCAGGGAAAAAGCCCATATTACAAGAACCATCTGTAGAAGGACATAATAACGGCAGATATACCTCGGCGTTCATAATTATAAGGTCCCCCATTTGCTATTTCAAAGTTTGCTGTGCAATTTTTGAAATGCCGCTCTGTATAGTCTCCTCATAACGAAAAACCTGCTCTCGAGTTCTGAGAAGTCTCGATTAAATATCAATTATCTCTTCAGAACGATTTAACGTTTCGCAATAGCTACACATCAGTCATGTCGAGAGTTTTTATTATAGCAAAAAAATGTCAAGATTTTATTATAACAAAAAAACGTCACAAATTTTCAATAATGGGATGGTCCTCCCATAATCATAAGGAACACAATAATACGTTTTGGAATGCTGGTAACCAAATTAGCTATTACAGTAGGATCGAAATTTGTCTGTGCGCTGATGATCGACGTTTTCAGCTCTTCGGCTGTTCCATTTTGCTTTTCTTTGCTGTGGAACTTTATAACAATTAAGGCCCAATGATTCTCTATTGGAATCTAATTCAGATACATGTCTGGCCACCAGAGAACTGCAAGTTCTTTTCTGCACTTCTATCGGCTCGAAGACGCTGGCCGCTGCTTTATCGTGCTTAAAATCAAGAATCGAGGGCGATTGTTGTTGACGCAAATGTAAAGTCGATCCAAGACTTCACGATACTCTATGGAATCTCAGAAAGGTGAACAAGCAAGTCTAGCGATAGCAAGCATTTTCAAAAAACACAGCAGACTTTGGATAAGCATAAATTAGGGTGGCCTTAATTTGAAAGCAGTGTATTATTGACGCTGAATTCAAGTCTGCCCTCGCTAACCTAACAGCATGATTTTTTCCACTTTAAGAGTCATGATAAAAATATAGACCTGGAAGGGAAAAAATTAGTGACCCGGAACGACGAGGCGGTGAAGCGCCTTATTGCCTGTTATCGATACTATATATAATGCGCTAAGTCTGTCTGTCTGTCTGTCTGTCTGTCTGTCTGTCTGTCTGTCACGAAATTCCGTATTAAGCGGACAACAACCTACTGGGTCCAGGTCAAGTATTTGGGATGGGTGTACCATATCTCGAGAAGTAAAAAACATACATTACCTAAGCGGAGCCCCGCCCACAGTGGGCGTGGCGTGCGTCGAAATGAGTGGTACTGAGGACCATGATTTCAAATTCAGTCACAAAACAGCCTCGAGACCGGGACAAAAGTGGGCATAGGTGTGGGTTGGTAAGCCAGATTGAACTGAGGAGACCCACCCTCGGTGGGCGGGGCGTTCTCTAGAAAATGGGTGCTCAGTGAAAATATTCATAACTCGGTTAAGAGGAAGCCTACAGACCAGAAACGAAATTAGTGCAGGGGAGCAATGCCTAAGGTATTTCCACCACGCATGATGTGAACGGAGGCCCGCCCACAATGGGCGGAGCGTGTCGTGAAGCGGACAGCGTTTTCTACAAGAGCTCATAAATCGGCTCCGAGATGACTTAGAGACCGAAAACAACGGCGACAGAGTGAAGAGGAGCCAGGTGAACGCTGGGCGCGTGGCACCCCGGATGTGGGCGGAGTTTGCCACCGCTCTCATAACTCGGTTCCTAGAAGTTCCGGCGACCGGGGAAAATGTGCATAAGTATTGAGGTATGGAGTAGGGTTGAATGCCATTGTTGGGCTAAGCATGCACCAAAGTGGGCGGGGTCTGCCTCAGAAATTCGTGACTCATAACGCCATTTACAAGACCTCATAATTCGGCTCCGAGATGACTTAGAGACCTGAAAAAAATACGCCAGAGGTGAAAGTAGGAGTAGAGGTTGAATGTGAACGCTGGGCGTGGCACACCCGGATGTGGGCGGAGTTTGCGGCGTAAGTAAGATGTACCGAGCAGAAAGCTAAAATCAAGACAAAAATACTGATGGGCCCGATTTTACCGCTGAGCCCTCGGTCAGACTCGGCGATTGCGTCGCTGGACACCAGCGACGGAGCCGCCAGCGACGGAGCCGCCAGCGACGGAGCCGCCAGCGACGGAGCCGCCAGCGACGGAGCCGCCAGCGACGGAGCCGCCAGCGACGGAGCCGCCAGCGACGGAGCCGCCAGCGACGGAGCCGCCAGCGACGGAGCCGCCAGCGACGGAGCCGCCAGCGACGGAGCCGCCAGCGACGGAGCGACGGGAGCCGCCAGCGACGGAGCCGCCAGCGACGGAGCCGCCAGCGACGGAGCCGCCAGCCACAAGAGTGGGCAACGGGCGATGACTCATCACACGATCGATCGATCACACTACTAATTTGTATGAAATTTTGGAATGTGGCACTTCGCTCGGCGACATAATAACTAGACTTTTACATGATTAAGCTTAAGGTAAATTAGCGATCAGGACCTCTAAGTCTTTTCATAGTTTTAAGACACAATGAGGAGTTTGAACTATATCAAAATACTTTTGTACGTATGAACTTCTAGAGTTTTTAACCACCATCCCTTTGAAATCCGAGTTAGCCTTCCAAACGTTCAATTCGTTTCCCAGCAATGTGTACTATGAAAGCTCTCATCTGTAGTTACATTTTGTCTATTGGTAAAGTCAAAAATCAGAAAGAAAAACTGCGTTCAGGGGAAATTTTGCATAATGTTGAGCAAGATTTGGTCGCGCCAAAAAGAGGCGCGGTCCCACGAGCACGCTACGTCCAAATCCGCATTGTCGTCAAAGGGTTAATCCCCCCAAGATCGGATCGTGTGATGAGTCGCCGTTGCACCCACTCTATGTGGCTGCGGTCGTGTGGCGGCTCGTCGTTGGCGGCTTCCGCGTTGGCTCCGTCGCTGGCGGCTCCGTCGCTGGCGGCTCCGTCGCTGGCGGCTCCGTCGCTGGCGGCTCCGTCGCTGGCGGCTCCGTCGCTGGCGGCTCCGTCGCTGGCGGCTCCGTCGCTGGCGGCTCCGTCGCTGGCGGCTCCGTCGCTGGCGGCTCCGTCGCTGGCGGCTCCGTCGCTGGCGGCTCCGTCGCTGGTGTCCAGCGACGAAATCGCCTCGTCTAACGCTAAATGCTGCTCTCCATTAGCCGCCTCATGTGCGTGGCTCCCTGCTGAAATCTATTAGACAAAAAATCACAGCATTTGATGGGGGTCAACTACGGGGTAACTAACTAAGGGTGCGAACCGACCCGCAATTTGCAGCGAAGGGTATGCCCCCGGTGACCTATGTGTTTCCGCGGCGCAGCCTGGCAAACGCACTACGAATAGGCTAAACCATGCACTGCAGTTCTAGACGTTTCGAGAGAGCGTTTAACGATGGAGAGGGTCAGCACGAGGGTTCCATTGTGGAATCACGGGCAAGGAGGGGTCATTTCGGTTTGCCGCTCTTTTATAGTTTTCTTCATCCAGGCACCATTGACCAGCACTCGATTCTAGAAGGCCGCTATCTAATCGTAAATCCCGGCTTCATTTATTATATTTCCTATGCAGGTGGTGAAAGCGAGTTGAGCTCATAGCAATGCGCGTAATCTCAAACCTTCCTTAAGTTGCTCATTCAGTCCAGATACAAGATTATATGAATGATCGAAAGGAATTACTTTGATCGTTCCATATATTGTCTAGGGCTGAGTGAGGACCTGCTCTTTATGGCTTAATCATGTAGAAGTTTAGTGGAGGGTTCTTGTAAATAATTTCATCCATGTGAAACTCAAGTGCCCAACATCTCTTTATTGAGTCTGATTCATATTCCTATTTAGGTGTGGTTTCAAAATCGTCGCAGCAAAGAGCGTAGGTTGAAGCATTTGTGCAATTATTTACGACATTACGAGCAGCGAGGTCTTCTACCTCCTCCAATTCAATTCACGACCGGCGGTATGGTGTTTTCCAACCTTTATTCTTAGAATTCATGATTGGAGATTTCAGCAGGGTGGAGCCTCATCCAGAAGCAGCATATTCATCGGTATTGAAATGAGTATAGAGGGCCAGTTCGATGAGGACGATGAGGAAGACTTGAGCGCGGTCAGGAGGCATAACTGTGCTCGTATGCTGCCAGGAAGACTCGAATAGACTCACATTGAGATGATGTATTCGCGGATTCGTTTTCGCGACTCTCCAAATATATCCAGTTCTTAAAAATGACATAACTCTATATATGATCAAATAGCGTGGTGTAACAATTTGTGAAAGGTGAGGCCAAAGTCAACCAAGTTCATCTTTGGGGTCTCATCCACTAAGGGGGGCATGAAGTGGCTGCCCTCACCACCCCCCCCCCTAGACTGCCTACACTCCCCCTGGCGCACAGGTTTCTTGAAGTACGGGACCCCGTAGCCAGGGGAGTGAAGCCAGTCTAGGGGGGAGGGGGGGCAGCCACTATGAGACGTTGCATCACAATGCCCCCCCCCCTTACTGGATGAGACCCTGCTCAGCTTCCAAAAACCCGTATGCTGGTGAGTGATGAGAGGTAAAAAATCTAATGTGACCAGTGATTGAATCATTTAATCAGTAGAACGAAATGATTACGCATCATTGCCTCTACCTTCTTAATTGCAGTAAAATGCATCGCTGATTCGCCTTTCTTCCCGAAAACTCGTGATCGTTTCCTAGCGTTAATCACTGTTATGATTCATCGTCCTTGTTTTCGTCCCTTCCAAAAGTGAAATGTTCGGTTCAGAACAAACACGAACAACTGACGACGTCTCCGAGTAAAGTCGGTTAGAAGTTGTCGTAGTGATAGTATTCTATTAATATAGCTTGTTATATCGCGACTATTGTAGAATTCAACCGTGCAAATCGTAATTATTTCATTTCGGCGAAAAACATTTCATTTTTGAAGCGTCGTCACTTGTGGTGTATGGTCTGCATCCGACACTTTCTCGCTTTTTGAAGGGGAGCATAACTTATGAAGTGCAACTCCTGACGATTTTATGAGTATAGCTCAGGTGACTTTATGCTTCAAATTAACACCGAGCTTCCAAGCTTTGATCCAGCGTTTGCCTATGCTGTTTTTTGTTCTTGAACGAGGGCCGCACGACAGGTGATGGTGCCACTTGCGACTCCAAATTAGTGACTCAAGACACCCAAACTGTTGTCGATCAATAAACACCAAGCTGGTCTTGAAGACACACCCCACGATCAAATTGTGTGGTTCTTGAACGCCAAATAAAATCAGAGGTACCAAGTGAACTGTCAAATAGATTAAAGCCGCTGACAAAGAGCCTCCCTCATCTTTTGATCGGGCTGTGCTGAGAAAATGAGATACTGTGCGTGGGGAAGCAGATTCTCGCCGAGAGCAAAATCTGAAGAGCGTGCAGACACATCTCCAGCTGGCTGACAGAGGCAGCGTAGCTGGCTGAAGAGACTCCATGCCGACTCTTATAGCAACCTTCGGAGGGAGATCGAAACATATGCTTTAGTTAGACAGTATCTTATCGCAAAAGACGGATTGCTCCACTTCAGGGCGAGTCAGGCTTAGTGGACCCAACACCCAATCCCTTTTGTAGTCTTTGTGCATGGCTACGCACCCACAGGAGAGCGTTACCATGCTCAGAATCCAAACGGCGCCGTAATAAGGCTCCAGGGCACGTATTAAGCGCTTTCGCCGCCTGGCGGCGCTCCGACCGCCCACCTCCGGAAGTGGTGCGTGGCTGGCATAACGTGTGAAATCAGCTAGGTTGATTGCCGTATCAACCGATAGAACGACTGACATCTCCAGAAAACTTGTTTGTACGTGCCTCTTTCCCCAAGCCAGCCTCCTTCACTGCTAGTGGGAAAGAGGGTTTTGTTAACGGCCTTGTCGACGGTTTTTCTCAGTTTTTTCTCCACTGTCGTTCCACTTCGCATCTCTATACTCAGTTTCAATCGCCATAATACCCCCTTATTGAGCCCGACTTTTGCCTTTAAGTCATCGTGGGGTGTCCAGTATTCATTCGTTATCGAAAGGCTACAGCATAGCTTAGAGAGGCACGCAAATGCAACAGGATTTTGATTGGACGTCGGGTGCATGACGCAGACAAAGGGCGTGATAGTAGTCATACTCTTTATTTTTTCTTCTGAATAAATAACGATAAATCAAATATGAGCTTCAAATTTCCTAGTAACCATCAGCTACAGGAAGTTGTCGCTTGTTGAGTCACCGGTGAAGAATCGAAGATCTCGTGCCATGTATGGACCTCCCTCCATATCCTGAATGGGGTATGTGCTTATTTTGTTGCCATTTTCAAACTAGGTGCACTCACACTCAAATCGATCAGGAAACTTTTGGAGATCTCCATTTGCTGGTCGATGTCGACTCTCGCTATTTGACCGCCCTTTCTGGAATGAGCATTTACCTTTGTCTTAAATTCTCTCGTTAAATTATTGGGAACTCACGCGATGAGTTCAGGATAGAATTGAGCATCCCACTGTTTGTAGAACGAATTGCTGACATACAATCGCTTTCCGTCGAGGCTCAGTTGAAGACACGCCGGTCCACCACGAAAAATCGCTCCACGTATGGTGGTCTTTGATGGTTGCCATTCTTCACCGACAAAAGCGAACTTGTGCGTCTTGTCCTTGGAAAACAAGCCTTCAACAGTTTATACCTGCCAGAAGGCTACCAGTGTGGTAGCATGGCGAGCTGGCGAATGGAATCAATCAGGGTGAATGGTATGGAGAGGGTATTGTGGCCAATACGACCAGTCTTCTCCTAGTCACAACTCTACAACTCTCTCCAAACTTGATGGTCCCCACAGCGGAAAAAGTTGCGCAAGCAACACGAAAAAGGTGCTTTCTGTTCCTAGCGAACCACCCTCCAAGAAGTTGAACGGTGGGGGAATTGCGAAATCAAGGATATCTAATCAACCAGAGCGAAAATCTACATAGGCGCGCTGACCAGGAATCGGCGCGCGGTAAGGCGGCTTTATAGTCATCCGATCGTCACTCTCGACACTATTCTCACACAGTACATAGCCATGGTCGAGGATTTCCTCTACCGTTACTCGTGTTACTGCTGGGTGCGTGGCGTGATGCGACGCGGTTTTTGTGCCATCTGGGCGGTGGAGTATTCTGGTTATTTATGCCCTTTATTCAATGTATAGCTGTTTTTGTGACGTTGCAAAGTAAATACTCGGCTTATATGATATCAGTCAAAGTTACACTTTCTAAACACTTCCCGTTCCATGCTACGGGACCAGTTCATGTCAAAATAAAAACTTGCAAGCGGCTATTAGGTTGGAAAGAAAGTCCTGCAACACTTTTTCAAATTTTTGATTTTAATTTTATCTTTTTTGGTTACAACTTCTGACTGGTCTTATATCTACCATGAGTGTCCACCACTTGTCTCCATCGCTCAGAAAATTTCTTGATCCTCCTCTGCCAAAACCCAGCGGAGTGCGAGTCGAGAAAGGAGGCGACCTCACTTTCGAGTTGGAGTTGATCGTCTGATTATTTCGTTATAAAGATGATGATTAAAGGTCCAGGATAGGTAGCACTTATTTACAGCTCGACCAGAGGGGATTACGCTAAGAGAGGAAAGAAATCTTGCCGCAACTCCAGAATTTCTTACCGGGCTCATTTCGGATCATGGTGATTCGCAATGTCATGAAAGAAATGAATATTGTCGCGGTACGAGGGCTCTTGACGAGCTACCTCGGCCAGCTTCTGGTACTTCCACACCTAGGCCACTGCCTACACAATGGTGCCCATAACGAAGGGTATGTAGTGGAGCTTCTGTAAGAGCCCTACCTGTAATGGAGTGTGAGGGATGCTGCTGGCTTCTTATAAAAATATCAAAAGATCGGAAGCGCTGGTAAAGGTGAAACACGCTGTATCGCTGAACGGCATGCCATTAGAAGCTATTGCAGATAGTGTCAGTCGTTGACACGAATCCATGGTTTTGTAGACATTTGTACTAGACAGTGACTCGGAGTACGGATTTGCTAGTGGTCGAGATTTTTTGAATTTTCTTGGATAACTACTGACTGCAGAACTTATATCCACCTCGTGGATTGAAGCCTTGAGAATGCTCTATCATTTGGTAGTCATAAATGTTACCTATGAATTTTTCAGAAAAAAAGAAAATTTTGGAAAGAGTGTTGCAGAACTTTCTTTCCACCAAATAGTAGAACCCAACATACCCCTTGAATAATTGCTGGCGATTTGACTAACGCATCTGTTGCACCTCCTAGAAGACCACCGAGAATCACCTAAACGATTGAATATTTTTGCAAGAACTTTCAACTATGTATTCGTAAAGCGAAGGTCCCCAAACACATTCTGTACAGATGTTGTCGACGCGATCGCGAAATGTCCAGGCCATATGGCAACATCGTTGTACTCCGGCACAAGGAATCTGATCATCCATAGATAGGACTAGATCTGCAGTTGGCGCTGGATTTTGGGGGCAGACGCAAGCCGTTAGCACCTATACGAAGTTCGTTTTTGAGTAACGACATAGGGTGTGAAATTATATCAACACGCCACGTTGAGGATCTTCGCGGAGAAAGCCGCTCCTTACACAGAAAACGATACCCATAGTCCTGCCCTACATAGCAAAGACAACGGAACGTAGAAACGTCGTTCTATTTCACACAAGACAGAGTGATAAACTCTCGCCGTGGAGTTGCTTAGACCTGTGACTATGGGGAGACATGTGTGCCACGTAGACTTTACTTTGTACTATTTCAGGGTGTAGCTCATTTGATGAGCTAAATTGCACATATAGAAGCTTTCTAATTCTACTATGACAGTGAATCGTCAGAAGCTAAAGCGAGTCATCCTGCATAAGTTAATCTTTGACTACTGGTGGTACACATGTGTCCCACTTGGTAGTCAAAGTCACTACCACAGTTTTGGCACTTATTGAGATCGGAGGGTCCGCTTTATGGCGGAATTGTGCACAACTAGAAACTTGGTAATTCTTACTCTGTCAGCGAAGTATCAGAAGTCTAAGCGAGTTACGCTGGATAAGTTGATAAGCAAGTCGTTCCACAGGTTACTGGGCAGTGTGCACAGCTCCCGAGAAGGTAGTTTTCGAGTCTCAAATTCTTTGTATTGTGTTAATGGTTCTAATATTTCCCTCAATTATTGTGAAACAGGTGAAACATAAGCAAACCGGTGACGGATGGAGGTTTTTATCGGCCGCAAGCCAGCTAGAGGACGACAGCGTTTTACGACTGCGTTGGGAATTCCAACCTCCGGAATTTTGTCAGTTCGTTTGATGCGGAAGTGGTAGTAGAACACTCCTATGATGATTTTCGGCATAAAAACCAGCGAAAATTCGTTAGAGGAGAAGCAGCCGGTGGGCGCAGCCTGTAGGCAGGGGAGCAGCACTTTTACAAAGTGCGGCTTGCAATTCTTTTCAAGTGCGTTCCCAACCAGACATTGCCTAGTTCCACGAATGAGATGTGATAAATGTGTATTTGTTGAATAGTATTTGGAACTGTTTCGAAAATGCTCATTCGAGCGGAGATGGTGTGGTGACAGGAGGGGCCACTGCCGCGCACATGGTCTCTGGATCGAATCCCAGCTCAAACCCAGCGCGCATCAGCCAAATTTCTACAGATGATTAGTTGTTGCTAGGAGCAACTGTTACTACATAAAACACATCAATAACTTGTTTTAAAAGTCGTTTTTTTTAAAGCAACAGTCCAGGCAGGGTTTCAACTACTTGGTCATTAGGCGGTCAAAACATGCCCCAGCCCAACTAAAGTTTATAGGAAATGTCTTTAATTTCAAAACCTACCTCTAAAATGCGCTGGAAGGGGTCGAAGTCCTCTTGGAGGGGGCGGATCACCCATAAAGAGGCGGATCGCCCAACATTCGCTGTGCAGAGCGCTTGCTCGACTAGCGGTCGTTGCGGGACCGCCGCGCTGTATGAGGTCGATTCCATAAGAACGCAATTGAAGCGCTTCAATTACGCAAGCAACGGGGGGGGGAGTCCCTGTCTAAGCCCCTGCCCGACGTTTTTTTCTACTTTTTCTATTCTCCATTGACCAACTTCTCACCTGCAACGTCATTATAGGTGGTCCTTACCCGCGAATTCGTTCCTGGATTGTTGCTTTAAGTATCGTTTTCTGTGGTGATGAGAGCGGGCTTTTTCCGTGAAGGTTTCAACTCTTTGAAACATGTTCGGTGCTCTCAAGGCTTCACACGTCTCTAGTCGAGAAGTGGAAGTTCAAGAACTGTGCGCACTCAGAAGATTGGGGCAATCTAGCAGAGAATGGCTTACAAAGATGAAGCCGGCGTGAGTCACATTCGCTTGGGATTTTCTTTCCTCTTCAGAAAATTGAGCAGTCTTTATTTGTTGTAGGGGTTACGACTCCTTCTGTGCTGGTTTTTGATTGTGGGCATACGATAGATTACTGCTTAAATGACAATGTTCTACACGAGCTCGAGGTGCACCGCATCTGTTCATAGGAGTGAGGTATGAGAAATTTTTAACTATTGCTTTGCGAACACCAAAGTTGGGGCAGTTGTTGCAGAAAGTGAAGGCAGGCTTTCAAAGAAGTTACTCCGGAAGGTGTGGGGAGTTTGTGGAAAGGGTAAAATCCAAAAGGTGCAGCTCATTTGGGTTCTTCTTCCATCAAAGGTTAAAATTTAAGTCGAAGGTTGCAGAGATTCAGTGAGGTAGCGCTATCTCTCTGGAAGGCCGCGAAAAGGGAGCATTTTCTCAATTATCGTTTACCCTTCAATGAAACTGGGCTTCTTAATACGCGTTCAAATCGACGAAAGCCATCCTGGGCGCTCACGTCCCGAGTTAGTGGAGCAAGGAATTGCGACCTTCTTCCTCTCAGGCCCTTCCGATGGACTCCTCTATGTTGTTGAGCAAGCCAAAAATATTCAAAAGATCTACTGCTCGGTGGTGCTTTAAGAGGCTTAGGACGACCTCATGAGGGCTGCTTCCATGCTCGTGACTCGGGTGCTCTGTTGTAGCGCTTCAGAAGAGTGGGAGATAGAGATCATGGGTGGCTGAAGTTTTGGCGTTGGAGGCGAAAGCTCTATCAAGGGAGTCGTCAAATTCAAAGCACCTTCTGCACAAGTGATCGAATGGCTTAAAGGAAGCAGTCACACTGGCTTCCACGCTGGTTTTGCTACCCTCGCGTTATCAACGATAAGGTGGGAGGCCGTCCACTTGCCCTCGCACGAGTGTAGCTCATGCGCTATGAGACGATTGATCTGCTGCGCTTCCTTGAGCAGAAGATTATTGCAGTGAATAAACTGTACTCACTTCGCTCGCGCGTTGCTTGATACTACCCCCCTTCGAGCAGCGCTCGATTAAATAAGCCCATAAACAGTCTTCCCATTTCACAAGCACTCCGCCTATGGGATGGGACACTCTAAGTGTAGTCTTCTTTATAGCGAGCCTCGACATAGCGCGCTCCGTGCGGTCGCTACCTGCCTTGGCTCGCTCCGCTGCTCTGTGGCTCTTATGTGGACTGTTCGTCGTTTTCGGGTCCGTGTCACTGAGTTCGGCTCCTTGGCTGTGAACTTGGTTCCAGTCCCTTAGCGTGTCTGTTCTTGATTCTTCTGACAGGCGACTTGGTTTTGAGGTGAGTGGGCAGGAGCGGAAGATCTGCAAGTTCTGGCGTTGAATCCGGATAACGTAAGTCCTTGCCAGCGTTCGAACGTAGCTGATTCGCGTGACGTTTCCAAATTTGTCCGTCGATCAGTACATCCGTAAAGCCTGTTTCCGTACCGCTTCAGTACCCGTCCTTGTGCTTGCGGTGGTTTCTTGAGAACGGTAGTCAATAGTCCATACCAGGTCGCCAGCGTTGAACTCCTTCTGTCGAGCTCCGTGATGACGATTATATTGTTCCTCCATTGTGTGGTTGCGAATGCTGTCGTTTGTCGTGACGTTTGGCTTCAGGAGGCTCAATCTGGTTCGTATCTCTCTTCCGAGGAAAACTTCGGCCGGTGATTTTCCTTCTGGTGTGGATGAGCAGGGAGTTCGCCGATAGGTTTGCAGGAATTTTTGTAGTGCTTCGGCTGGCGACAATTCTTCCTTCATTTTCTCGAAGTTCCTTTTGAAGGTGTCGACAAAACGCTCCGCTTGTCCGTTAGACTGTGGGTGGAATGGCGGAGATTTCATGTGTCTTACGCCATTTGTAGTGCAAAAGTCTTCGAAATCCTTTGATATGAACTGGGGTCCGTTATCCGTCACCAACGTTTGTGGGTTGCCGAACTGGGCGAAAAGACGGCGTAACTCTCTAATCGTACTGCAGGTCGTTGTAGAAGACATTTCGACGATTTCCGGCCACTTTGAGTAAGCATCGACGACTATGAGGTACATTTTCCCATCGATCGGTCCAGCGAAATCGGCATGTATGCGATTCCATGGCCTATTTTCCACTGGCCATGAGCAAAGTGTCGTTTTGACTGGATTCTTCGCCGTTTCCTGGCAGCGACGACAAGTTTTGACGAATCTCTCGATGTCGTGGTTGATGTTCGTCCAGTAAACGTAGTTCCTAGCGAGCATCTTCATACGAGTCGTCCCTGGATGTCCGTCATGAAGTTCGCGAAGCACGGCGTCTCGTAATACATCTGGGATCAAAATGCGATCTCCGATAAGTAGGCATCCATTCTGTGTTGTGAGCGATTCTCTGAGACAATTGAATCGACTTGTGACCTCTGATTTCTTTGGCCATTCTCCGCTCCGAACGAATTTCAGAACGCTCTGCAGAACTGGATCCTTGGATGTTTCTTCCGCTATTTTCTTCGCATCGACTGGTAACTTCGATATTGCATTGACGAATATCGTGTACGAGTCTTTTTCGATTGTGGCGATGACTATATCTTCTTCAATTTTCGGTTGGTCCGCGACGAGGCGAGATAGGGCGTCTGCTTGTCCAAAGCTAGAGGTACTTCGGGTAAGTTCTTCACTATGAGAGCCCAGCGCTGGAGTCTGTTAGCCGTGTAAATAGGTACTCCTTTCTTGCTTCCGAAAATTGCGAAGTGGTTTGTGATCAGTTAACAGCTTGAAATGACGTCCGTATATGTAACGGTGGAATTTCCGTAAGGCGAACGTTATGGCGAGAGCCTCCTTCTCGACTTGACCGTAATTCTTCTCGGCAGCTGTCAGTGAACGGCAGGCATGATGAATTGCTTTTTCCGTTCCATCCGAAAAGCGGTGACTAATCACTGCTCCTATCCCATACTCCGATGCGTCGGCCGCGATGACGATCTCCTTTGTGGGATCGTAGTGGGTGAGCAGGAGATCCGAGGCTAGCACATCCTTGGCGCGTTGGAATGCGTCTTGACACTCGGCAGACCAATTGAACGGAATGTTCTTCTTCAGCAGATCGTCCAACGGTGCACGTAGTTGTCGCATCTCGCTGATGAAGTGTCCGTAGTAACTTAGCATCCCCAGGAACGATCGTACCTGGCTGATGTCCGTGGGGTGTGGCATCTTGCGAATTACTTCGATCTTGGCGGGATCGGGTCGACGTCCGGTAGCATCGATTATATTTCCCAGGTATCGAGTTGAGGCATCAGGAAATTGCATTTTTTGATCCGGACACGAAAGCCATAATCGTCAGTGGCGACGATTTCTTCTCGGTAGGCAGCCGCAGGATCCGCAACGATGGACACACCACTGACATATCTTTGCAGTGGTTTCACCAGCTCTGGAATCTTCTGGATCCATTCCCAGCCGAAAATGTCGAGGTTGTCGGTAAGCGTAACAGCATCCTCGTCCTCGATGTTGTTTTCCGTCAGAGCTCCTCAGCACAAAATCGACCATTAGAGATAGATTTGTTGGATTTTCTTGTTTGGCAGGCGTTACATGACATGTTACAGTCTTAGTTGCGGCTCCCAAGTTATCTTCCAGCTCGATTCAGAGATCAGTGTGATCATGGCGCCAGTATTGAGTAGATCCAGGGGATGTCCATTTACTTCAACTTCCAGGCAGGGTCGGTCCTATCGTTGCTACTTTTCGAAGAATTTTTACGACCCCCTCCCCAAGGGTGGCATTGTGTAAGACCCCTCTCGCCTCGAAACCATTATTTCCTCGCGTATAGTATTCAATTCTGGGTAGTCAATTCGACCACAAAACTCTACCACTGTTTCTCTCCAAAATGTCGGGCAGGGGGAGGGGGAGCGGAGGGCGGCGTAAGTATGCACTCTGAACCTGTTAAAATTACTAAATTTACTAAATGTCCCTAAGATTCTCCCCACCAATTTACCCCCCTACCTTTAATCCCACGCTTCATTTTCTAGGGGGGTATATACGCGCGCTGAAACGGCAAATTTTCTCCCGCGCCACTCCTCCCTCACCTCATGCAACTTCTCACAATCGAAGCAAGTACGACCCCCCCCTCTACAACCTCATCAAAATATACGACCCCCCTCTACAAACTCATCAAAATATACGACCCCCCTCTACAAACTCATCAAAATGTACGACCCCCTCTACAAACTCATCAAGTTGACCCCCCGTTGCTACTTGTAGCAACGTAGGACGACCCTTCCAGGTGTGGTTGGTTGTTTTTGCTTAAAGCGGCCTCGATGCTTTTGATCTGGTAATTCTTTGTGCCGTAACGTCTGGTCTGTGGGCGTGACGGTGATGTTGATTCCTGTATTCCAGATCGTTTACTGTCGTGAAGCGCATTGGTTTTCTTTTTGAACATCTGTTCCTGCTTTTGTCTGAAAACTCTTCTTTTCTTCCTCTTATTGACATGGTTGATCGTAGCGTTAGCATTAATCGCGTTTTCCAGCATTCTGGCGTCTTCCTTGTATGCTTTTATAAGTTGACACTCAGCAGTGAGGTCTTTGATCGTAATGTCCTCACCTTGATCTAGCTTTCTTAGTAGTCGTGTTCTGTAGTCCGCAAATTCGGCTCCCTGGAATCCTGCGACGTAGATCAGGCACTGCAGACCATCGAAGTTGATGGAGTTGAATTTGGCATCAGAACATCGTGTTCGAACAAGTGTCTCATAGCTATTGAAATCTTGGTGGTCATACTGAATCTTAAGACATTCAAATCGTCGACGAAATAATGTCTTACCAGAACCGAAAAGACGATCCATGGTGGTGATAGCTTCATCCCATGAGAGGTCTGACGGCGACTTCGGTGCAATCGAACCGCAGAAGAGCTGGTGACTGTCTTCATCCAGGCGGCTGACCAGTAGGCGAGTCTTCTCTTGTTCGCTCAGCTCCGTACAGTCGTTGTCGAAGACGTCTTTGAATCGTTTGTACCATATATCGAATGTTCTTCCG